AGCTGTGCCAAATTTTCCCTATTATGCAGAAAATACTTATGATCGTTTTGAAAATACGCAACATTCTTGTTAGTAAATTTATATGAAATAACATTTACCTGACGTGCATAGAAATTTCAATTAAAATTCTTTTATATGAATTTAATAATAATTAGTTACATAACATTTTGTAGAATTTTGAATCTCCTTCTTCTTATGGAATATCTCAAACTGGAGTTAATTACTCCTTGTTAATTGAACTGGAACAGCTGGAAAAACACGTAATGGTTAAACACCCAAAAAAATTGTCAAAAGTAACTTTATTATGTAGATAAAAAACCAAACTCGCATAGCAGATGATTGTACTAAAACAGTTTTCTACTATGAATTATTAGACTTTCCAGGTTTATCGACCTTATTCTAAAAAATCTCAAATATAATAAAGAAGATGACATCTAATTTGAAAACAAGCGAGAAAAGGAGAAGTAGAGAATTATCCGATAATGAAATACTAAAGTTAGCAAATTAGCAGATATTTATCACACAATGGACGCTTAAGATTCGAATTAGTATCACTGCTTGTTAACATGACGCTCACTAGCAAAAGATTCAGAAAAAGCAAGATGATAAAATGTGGTACCGCATTAGTGACTGTGCCGTTAGTCAGAAGAAAATTTTCCTTACGAAATCTGGCGTTACTGAAGCGTTAACATAACTTCATAAAATGCGAAAACGAATACGTTACAAAATGGGATTATGTTTGTAGGGTTTATATTTATTTTAACTAACATTTATTTTAAGTTTAAGCTATCTTTCCTGTCAAGCCTTTACTTTCCCCTGGAATTGCCAATGCCAGAGTATGTAAATTTTAGTATAACGCGCAGAGTATTCAAATTTTAGCATAAGTAAGTTGAGTTTAAATAGAAGGGAAACGAGATTGTAAGTGTGCTTCTTGAATCACGAGCGTGAAGGTTGCTAGGTAGAAATTTTAAGAACCACGCGTTTCGGCCTGTGTGCCTATTTCGGCAGTTCGTTGAATCTTTCAACTTCTTAAACAGTAAGTTTGCTGAATCTCAGCTGTATTTTAGAACGCTGTTAAGTTAGTTACGATTATAGAGCCTCGTAGGTAGTGATTTCGTTATTTATTCATCCTGTCATTTATTTTTAGTTGTACCTTTCTATTTGGTTTAACCGCCGGGTCGGCGTAGTTGGTGAGCGTCAAGTGAACGCAACTGTGATTTCTAAAGTGAAATAAAAAGGAATTTAAACCCTTCTTACGAGTTTGTATAATTTCCAGTTCATAACAGTCACTACTACTGTTGCTGACAAATTGGAGCCTCCCAACATCATATGTTTTAAATTACATTTAAGGATATTTTAAAAGTAAAAGCTGACCGTTCCGTACAGTTTTTAATTTTTGTAAACTTCGAACATGTACAGAGTCCACAAACACACTGAACAGTTTTATCAATTTGCCCTTACGAGTGAAAAAACTTTGGTACTGGTCGCATTTTTACAAAGCAAGGTTAAACGTTTTTGTGACAAGTGACATAACATCATTACGAGCACCAGTGTTTCACGCAAAATATCAAGCCAATATTCCAGCTCTCTACATGTACTGTGTAACATGGCGTGACCAGTGTCTGCATTGGCATTGCTGATTCTTGTCTTCGGGTCTGCAATGTTTGACTCTTTCGAATAGTAAACAACGTTTTTAACATATCCCCACAGAAAAAAGTTCACAACGAGTAATCAATGAAAGTCCACCACGGAAGTCCAAATAGAAAGTTTATTATTACATGCATGAATTGAGACAATGAATCTCGTATCTTTCGCTGGAAGCATAAGCAAAAAAAAAAAAAAAAATTACCATTTGTCTCAAAATCTTATTATTTATCATTTCCGGTATCAAAACGAAGAATTTTAGTTGCAAAATCATTCAAGTTACATGACGAAGATAGTTCTCCTTTTCGCTTTTGATTACGTTTTGCAAATTAATGACTCTCGCGTACTCTGCTCGTAAGCAACCCTTCCTGACGCCAACAATATACGAGTTATTTACATTTTTCCCGATCTATGCAATTATTTTTTGTATATATGTGTGTGCGCTCGAGCTTTGTGTTTTGAATTTCCGTTAAAGTTACAGGTTGGTCTCAAAACCAAATAGCAACTGATCAATGGATCTAATAATTTCTTCCTAATTTAGATTTTCGTGCATTTCTATACCAATAACATAAATCAGAGATAAATTTTTTATAAATAAATTTAAAATTTAGTTAGGAAGTTATTTATTTATGAAGAATAAATTGTTTCCTAAAATCACCCTACCCGAAGCTGGTAGGAGCTGACTTGCTAATAATATTAAGTGACAAGTTGAGAATATTTCACTTTTTTCATTAAAGCTTGAAATTTTAATTATTAACCTAGAAATACACACTTCAGGGCTACTCAGTTGATTCTTTAGAGGAAGCCTGGGTTCTATCATTCAGTTTCTTTCACTCCGTTTCCTTCTTCTCATATTTTTTCACACAACCTATTTTGGTATAGTAATACTATAAATATTTCGAGAGTGTGAAGGAGAAATATCACAGATTTATATACATAGCAGAAAATACTACAGTAATAGAGATGTGACTTTTAGTCTTTAAAAACGCTGCAATATTAATACCTCATGGTATTAAATAGACTAATAATTATATCAAAGATTTCAAAATATAACGTTCTCCTTCTTAAAACTTGAAAAGTAAGTGAGTAGGATTTTCTTAAAGCATTTTTCAACATGTTCTCGAAAATCATTTTTAATTTTGTTTAACTTAAACAATATAAGGAAATTTTGCCTACTCCACTGAGTGCACTTGGTGTGCAATTAATAGCATGTTCACTAACAAACGCAAGGTTCGTAATTGGATGCGCCGGCGAAGGTATAGCTTATTACTCATAGCTTTCAGATATTACAAATTTCTTTGCAAGTTTCGGCTGACTAACATTAGCGAATGATAAATCATTACCACTTAGATTTAGCGAATGAATCCCGTCTTTTCTCAGTCACTCTGAAAGTAGTTGAGAATATAAAAAGGTTTCGCTTTCCGTGTCATCCGAATGTATGCGGTGGCATGCGCAGTTGGCAGTCGTAAGATTCGGAGTTAGAATCCAGGTGACAGCAAAGCAATTCATAGCATTCCCTAGTTCTGAAAAAAAATATAAAATGTCCCTACAAATGGCGCCCGAATTAATATGTGATGGATGATAATTGGCCTCCACCTAGATTTGGTAAATGGGTCTCTCTCCCCTTTACTTATGCACCCAGTAGGAGAGAATGTAAAGAATTTTCCACTTTCCGATTGCGTGCTCTCGTAATTCAACCGGTAACACGTCCGTTTGGCAGTTGAGAGATTCGGAGTTCGAATCCTGCCAAAGGTGGTGCTGATTTCTCCCGTATCCTGCTCTAAAAGGCCCAATAGCTTTAACAAAACAAGTTTATGGGATTATGAATTGTACCATGTAAAATAAAAGTTTTAAGTAAGAAAAACAATTTCCATTGACTTCTGTGTTTGACTGTTAATGCACGTTTAATTCAACAGAAGCTTGAAATTTTCTGATACATAGCTTAATCAGTATTAAATTCCTGACACATTACTGAAAAATACCATAAAAACTTGAAAAAAAATGTGATTATTTACTTATCTGATTCTCCTTTTCGACACATGTTCAGGAGAGAATATGCGTGCATCAATAAAAAGCAATAATGTTCAAAAGAACTTATTTTATTTTCCAAAATGCTCAAAGAAATCGTCATAGTTTATTGATTTTAAACATTTATTGCATTTAAGCTGAAATAATTTATAGAGTCATTACGTGTTTTTGGTGCTAGAGATGTGATAAATGTGCAGTACCCTAGCCGGGACTCGAGCCGTGAACCTCTCGAATACGCGTCGAGTATGCTTCCCATTACACTACAAAGGTATGAGGAAAGGAGACGATACCTATTATATTCTCCCTTTTAAAGAGCGACTAGAGATTATGGACCCAACCGCCAAATCTTGATGATGACGAATTATCATTAACCATCTAGTTCGGTCACTACTTGTATGAGTCATTAGGTTTTTTTGAAGGAGGAGACATAAAAAATGTGCAGCGCCCTTGAAGGCATGCGGAAAGGAGGGTGAAGAAAATACCTTATAAGTTGAATTTTGTAATTTCTTTATTAAGTTGTTTAACCAACTATCTAAAACCGAAATAAAGCTTTTAACGGCATTTAGATTAGAAATTTATTAAAGGAAACTGTTTTCTTTCAAATTTTTACAAGATTAGTTAGTCTATTTTATAATAATATTTAACAAATACCAGCATACCATAATTTCAATATCTACATACCATGCAGACTAACAATGTATTATGTAGCAAATAGTTCCATAGTTACATTCACCCTATATATATATATATATATATATATATATAATTTCTTTTAGATTTTGAAATTTATTCTTTTACATTTGCCGTTTCCGAGTTTATACTAAATTATGTCAATTTCCCATTCCTACCTTCATACCTTCATTCGCATCAAAGAAATCATATGAAAATTGAAATGTCTTTGCTTTCGTAATTGCAATATTGTTGTTATTGCTTATTGTATGCAAGCCATAAGAGTGCAGCTAAGGTAGGAGGACACGTATGTATCTGTAACTTCAAACAGCTGTCTCATTGCAGAGATGGGCAGTCTGGGCAAGTTTATGATAAATATCATATTATATTGTAGATCTTTTCCTGCAAATAAAGAATGATAAATGAAATACACCCAAACATGAAGAAACGCTATTCAACTTTCAGAAATAGATAAATACTCTTCCTTTGAAGTGTGAGGACTATGCTGTCATGAAAGACTAAGAGCCAGTTTGGCGTATAAAATCCATCTTTACCTCTTTGGCGAAACTTTTCTTCGCTGCTTCGTCGCCAACAACTTGTAGCAACCTCCCCTAAGGCGGGGGCCGCGGTAAGCACGATGGGTCAGTGGGCGAGCCGAAGGAGCAAGGAGTAAGATGCTAAAAGGCATTTTTCCCAGATTTCCCCGGAGTCGCTGCACGTGTTTCTTGAGCCATTCAGAATTTGATTGGGATGGCATGTTGTTCCCGGAGTCGCACTGTTTACGCGGCGGATTCAAAACAAGTTTCTAATCTTCGAGAAGAAAATGATTTCTGCAATCTCTTCAATCACTGAAGAAACATTTGAATGAATATTTTGATATATGTCATCTAAAATCAAAATATGTTGATGGTGAATCCAATAATTTAAATATATTAAATGACTCAAGTTATGAAGCGGCATAGTGCAATATTAAAGTAGATAGATACCAATTTGAAAAACAGTCGAGTGTGTGTGATTTAATTGTGTTCATCATGAACTATGGTATTTAAATGCACCAAAGAATGAACAGCGCTAGGTAAGTTCCTTCTTATTTGTTAAACATTACTCATGAACGATGTTAAAAAATTATTTGTGAATGCATGCGTAAATATAATATTTAATTTAAGAAAGAATTTCACTAATCTACAATAACATCATAATTTAGTTTTGAGAGTTTCATAATGTTAAAAAAGTAATTTAAATTTCAGAGTAAACAATAAATTTACAAAAATTATTTCATTATTAGAAATAATGACATATATGGACCTAACTTTAACGTACTTTCCAGTGGCTCTCTTTACTTATTTAAAACAAAATGTGTTCATACCCATGCATTTTTTATTAGCATAAGTAAATAAAACAGGTAATTAAGTCTGATTGCTTATTTATTTTTAATTGAATTTTATTCGAACAATCGTAGTCTTAGTGTCTTTGAAAAATCTAGTTTCCAGAGTAAAATCAAAAAAGAAAATGTTTTCTTTCCTGTATAACTTGCGTTTCGCTTATCGTAAAAACTATTGAAAATTATAACACATTCAGTATCTACATACCATGCAGAGAAATTTCACTTAATGCAAAATAATTTCCATAATATACATATTTAATATGTTCTTTAAAATATTATTGTAATTTTATTATTATAATTTAATGAATATTTTTTACTGTCTCGCATGTTATATTTTTTTAAAATTTTATTCAAATCAGAAAACTTTCATATTTCAAGTCCAGAAGAAAATAACTGATACCCAAATTTGAGTGTAAAACTCTATTGAGTAAAAAAGATAAAGAAATTACCATTCAAAGAAAAACACTTTTATTTCCAGATTTATGAATATTAAAATTTGGAAATACGAAATAATAATTAATTATTTAATGAAAAGCTACTTAGTAAGATTTGTTTCATTATATTCTTCTAGAAGCGAATTATTTTCTTCATTTAGCGTATTATTTTTTCCATTCACATCTCATGTACCTCCGGTTAAATGATTAAATTATAAAGTAACAATTTTGATTTGAAAGTCAAAATATCCCTAGAAATTTTATTCTGGGAAAAATTCACAGATGACAAACTTTTACTACTTTTAAAATTGATAGAAAAACGTAAAACGTATCGATGAATTTCATAAATTAGGAATAAAATATTAAAATAATAATTTATCAGTTAATTAACACATAAGTGCAATCTCAAGATGCTAAATTTGCCATTTAGCCCGTGTTAAGAATTTTTTCATATGACTGTATATTTGTTTTCTGCTATTTGAAGTTATGAAATTCTTTTATATTCATTATATATTGGTAACAATAAATTATTTGTAAAGAAATTTCCATCGCACCGGAAGGTCAATATTTTTCGTATCTGTTTGCTTCGAAAGTTACTGACGTCGAAGTGCTTAATGATACTGTCGACCTTATCAATGGTTCCGGGCTTCATATCCCCGAGAAGGCTTGGATGTTTGTAAATATATGTATACAATGATTTTTTGGCATGGGAGTACTTAAAATACATGAAGATCCGAACGTCCTTTCAATTAATTTGGTGACAAGTAGAAGACGTTAGGATCCGTTCCTCGGGGAGAGGGGAATTCTCTTTCAAAATTAGGGAGGCAATACTGCGTTCCTCGCCACAATAAAATTCGTGAACTTGTTAATGTCAGATAAGTTATTACAACACAAAGTATTAAATTGAACTTTTTCTGTGGTATTAAAACTGATACCTTTAAAAACTAATTTATGATTTCTTTATCCTGTGCCCAAAAAAAGCTAAAAATCAAGGTTTGTTTTGTTGATGAGACTTAAAATCGTAAAAAATAGAGTTATTACTGGGAAGTAATCAGTTAAGAAAAAGAGACTAATATTCGTGAACAATTAAGAATGTATTTGTCCTTTGTTTAGAAAAATATCGATAAACTCTTCAAACTCATAAAAAATAAATAAATAATACAAAACAAATACGGAACAGTGAAGTGTAACTACGCATAAAATTTACAACGAATGTACACAGATGTCATATAGAATGTAAAGCTGATTTGCTAATTAATTGCTTGTAATAATGTATGCGAAAGTTATATAGGTTAGAAAAAAAAAGACTTTCGTGTAATGTTTTGTAAAGAAATCTGTGTTTTTATCGCTTTGCTTACTGGAAAAGCCACGAAAGACGAACTGCCAACTGTTCGCCGGGTATCGAAACCAGCCGGTGGTCTTATACATTCATCCATCTGATAGGTGTATAATGTAACGAATAACAAAAATGTGATAGAAAGTTAAAATACCAAATCTAATTAATATACTTGTTTAACAGCTCCTGGTAACTTTTAGGCGAGCTTACTACAATTTCTAATTATATACTAATTAATATAATTAATATATATTACGCTCAGCAATATAGTACGTACGCATGAAAGCTAAATGCCTTACTTTGCAAATATTTTAATTTTACTTTTCCCATTATTCTGCTTAACATTATATCAAAAACACCTTATTTTACTCTCATATTTCTCCCACTCGCGTATTTCTCCCCCCTTCACAGGTTTTTCAACATATCGTTTAGAAACTTCTAATTTATAGTTATAAGCTTTTTCGCCCGCCTTCTTAGCATGCCTTTGTAGTGTAGTGGTCAGAACGCTACGCGCGTATTCCAGAGGTCCGTGGTTGGATTCTCGTCTAAGGCGTTGCTCATATTTCATCTCTCCTGCATCGAAATAACCTAATGTCTCTACAGTGGAGCCTGAACTAAAAAGGGTAGTGGACGAGGATTTTCCACAGCCAGGATTTGGCGATTGGGTCCCCTATGAATTTATTTCCACGCCCTTTCAAAAGGGGAGTATAGAAGGTATTTCTTCCGCCTTCTTAGCATGCCTTCGTAGTGCAGTGGTCAGCACGCTTAGCGTGTGTTTCAGAGCTCCGTAATTCGATTCCCGGCGAAGGCGTTGATCATTTTTCATCTCTCCTGCTACGAAATAACTTAATGTCTCGACATAGTAACAATGTAAAATATATGCACATGTAGGAGGTTAGTACTTTATGCATATAAAAAGAATAATATTGAAATTAATAAGACCTTTAGAATACATAGTATAATAATAATATTAGTATGACTTCATGGAGCTTTTGAATGTGCTATGTTTCTCATTTAAGCTATTTCTTCAGAAACAGTAGACACCGTATATTTTTCTCTTTCCGGTTTTCAAGCACTGAAATTAGTAATACAATATATGGTTATTTGTTTCTCTACCTAATTTCATAACATTGGCAAAGGAATATGAAATTGTATTACCTAGATACCTCAAGATATATACGATTTGGTACCAACTTACTGCAATAAAGAGAATGATGTAATAAAATGCCTCATATCAAATTCTTTGATTTCAGTATAAACTAATAAGTTTGTGTTTTCCTATAATTTGCATTTTCATTAAAACAACATTTTTATTTCCTTCGAAAATTTTTCAACATGGACAGTTCAAACAGTTAGCACAGCTGTACATTCACAACTGTGCTAACTATAATGTATATATATAAAGATTAATATTCGGCTTATGTCGGCATTTCATATGCTCTTCTTTCTGCAGTTTATTGTTTGTAACATTTTATTAAAGATGAAGGATATGAGACTTTGCGTTTCCACTGAGCACTTAAAAGTAATTTTGCAATTATTAATCGTCCTAATTTTAACGAAATATTGAAATAATGAAGAATTCTTGGAGAAAACAGAAATAAACAAATTAGGCTGTTTGATGAAGCCAAAGCAATTTTAAAGTGCTACAATTTTGGCATAATTGCAATGCAAAAATAATGAAACGTTTGAAATATTTTCAAGAATTACCAGAATAGTTTTTACAAAAATGTGGGGGACAAAATGGCGCCGATCGACTGACTCGATAACTTAACCCAAATCATAGCTTCATAAACATGCGAAATAGAACAATATGTGGCTACATGCAAAAATGTGATTATGAGCATGACTTATAATATGACTATGCATTCAACGAACAGATTGTGATTTTGAAATTTCATTCTGTTCATTACTTACATACGCTCTTTAATTGAAAAATAAATTATGGATTTAAATACATTCTTAGTTCTTCATTACTAAAAGATTTCAAAGGAGAAAGTTTTATATGGTTTCCAAGTGAATTAGCTTACGAATTAAATCATGAATCACAAACAGAATTTCGTATTTTTAAATGACAATGGAAAATTAGCAACGCCTTCGCCGAGAATCGAACCATGGACCTCTGAAATACCGGCTCAGTGTGCTGACCACTACACCGCGAAGGCACGCTAGGAAGACGAGAAAAATACCTTACATACTTAATAAAATATAATTTTTCAATTTACATGATTGTTTCCTATTTGTTTTCAGATTTATTATACTTGAAATGTATAACATAAACTTCATACATTTTATCAACCCTCTGAGCGCCATGACTGGCTTTATCCTTTGATGAGATTTTTCGTCAATTGTTATATATTAGCTTATAATTTAAGATATTTTGCTTTCTTACTTTCATTAATAGTATAAATGCCATCTTGATGAAAGTAAATTTATGAAAATAGAGACTAAAATAGGTAAATATACATATTTAGCTAATAAAGACTCTTTAAATACAAGTCTTCATGACAGATCCAAAAACCCGGACTCTCAAATAACACATATTACAAAAGACAGGTGGTTTGCTAGAGCCTTAATTATGCCTTAGGTGGTCGTTATGGTCTTTAATTGAAGCTTTATTTTATAATAAACCTAAGGATACAGTGAAATCTCCAGAAAAGAAAATTTAAATGTTGTTAAATATTGCATAGAAGGAAATATTAATTATTTATATTTATTTGCAATGTATATATGTGTGTGTATGTAATTATGGAAATATGCGTTAAACTGCTAATTTTACTTTGCAGTAGTCCCTTTTGCTAATTTAAGATGGATATATTTGTCCTTTGTATTCTAAAAGTATTAATTGCTTATAATAAACCTGTCTAAATTTCCAAATTAATCCACGCCATGTTACTGTTGTGTAACGCTGGCGACTATGGTTA